TTCTAGTGCCTTTTCTTCTATTGTGACCTGCTCCTTTCGTTGTGCATAGCTGTCATTAGGACCTTTGACTTTGCGGGGTGGATCCTCAGTCCAACAGACTCCGATGGGTTGTTTAAAATACTGAAGTCTTTGCCTGCATCTGTTCCTGGGTGTGCAATGCTTATTTTTTATACAGGCTGTATTTCTCTGAATGTTCAGGAAAATAAACTTGAACACTATTTCTCCGAACGGTTTCCGTTCTCGAGATTTGTTGATAATTTGCGAATGGAGTGGCTTGCGCGCGCGTCTGTGTGTGTGTAAGGTGTGAACGGGAGGGGGGGTGATTTTTAAAATTTTTGTTTACGTGAAGGATTTTATTGCTTTAGGGGTGACTAAATGCAAAATAGGTTACTGCTAGATCAAGCAGTCTTGCTTTCTCGCAGTTTTCTTTTTAAGGCATTTTCAAATGAAGAAGTAGGCCAGGAACCTTGCCCCTACCACAACTGAAATATCTGAATATTAAGACATTTAAAAATCTCGAGCTCTAGAAATTTAATTCGATGCAAAAAATGCTTTTCCCCAGTCCTCGCTGAGTGGCAGAATGAAATGCCTAAATGACGCAACAAAAAATTTCGAGAACGGTAACCGTTCTGAGGGGATGAGTTTCGCAAAGGGCTGGCACTTACCGTGACAAGGTCCATTGAGCAAACTACAAGGGTTAGGGTCCGCTCAAAATATCTCCTCTTTTGTGTGTTGTTGGCCGGCAGGCCTTCTGCGAAACTCCTTCCGTTCTGAGAAATAGAGTTCCAAGTTTATTTTCCCGAGCGTCTGAGAAATAGTCACTTCGTTATTTTTATCCATGTTTTTAACTTGGGGGGCTGACCCCCTGACCTTATAAAAACATGGGGGATTTGATGTTTTGCAATTCAATTAGGTTTCATATCTCTTGCTCGCTGATCGTCAAAGATCAAGGCCTATCGGCACGCGCATTGAAAAGTAGTCGTTTAGAACCAGAATCTAAGTAATCATCAGTGAAACTAAAACCCATTCTCCATTGTTATCGTTGGGGCCAAACAGGATTGTCCCAGTTCTTTAGTTATTTTTTAGCCTAGGCGACTCCTAGACTTTAAATCGTTTATAAAATGTGTCATATACCCTGGTCTATAATTTTGTTCTATTTTGCATTTCCATTGATTTCATTTGCTGTAAAATTATAAAATTAAGTTACGAATAGCTGCAAATCAAATAGACTAAACCTATTTTCAATGTAATTCAATGCCATTATATTGTTAAATTAAGTGGTATATATTATGTAGTAGGCCAAGGCCAAGTTGCCTAAAGTATTTTAAAAATCAAGTGGCAAGAAAGTTTGGTCAGCTAGAGAAAGCAATTGGACCAAGATCCTTACAAAGCTTTTCATGGCACTTATGCAGGCCAGCAACCAAACAAAAATAATGTTTTTTAAGAAATCGTTATCCGGTAGTAATAAAAGTTTTTCTCTTTGGACCCTACTAAGCTAAATCTGTATTAAAAGGAAGTGTATACAGATCCGGTAACCGGCAACAAAGTCAGAAAGTATACAGACCCGGTAGGGGAAATCTTTTGTGATTTCGGATAGTTTCAGCGCCCAGACCCAGTAGAAGTGTGTGTGTGAGAGAGAGAGAGGAGGGGGTAGAGAAAACAGGGGGAAGTGCTAGCAAATTTCACATGCCCCCAGTTGACTCGAGGGAATGAGAGAAAGATTAGAGTGGGAAAGTAGGTCGGGGAGAAAGAAAGACAGACAAACGAAGAGAAAGAGAAGGTGAGCGATACACACAGAGAGAGAAAGAGAGGCAGGAAGAAAAAGAGGGGAGAGAGACAGAGAAATAGAGAGGGTGACTGCTCTATTGACATTATGACTTTGTTCTTTTCTTCAAATTGTCTTATTGATTCCTCCAACTCCAAAACGGAGGAAAAGCGATCATTCATCGAAAAGACATCCGCAATCTTCATCTAGCTAGCTCTAGATCTAGGCCTCGAAACTATATAAATCTATGGTTTATGTCTGTCAGTCTACTACTGAGACCTAGGCCATAGATCAAGAAGAACCTTTAAGTCTACCCTGAGCCAAGAGAGTGTGAAACTTTCTGAAATCACAGATTTCCCCTACCGGGTCTGTATACTTCGTGACTTTGTTCCGGGTTACCGGGTCTGTATACACTCCCATATTAAAAATCACTCTTTGGCACACACAGATGACTAAAATAAATGACTTACCGTAAACGAGCAAACAAATTGCTCATTTTGAGACAGTTACACCACCCTCATTTCAGTGAGAAGGACTTCCGTAATTAGTGACCGCCCTGACAAACACAATAATAAAGAAGGGACCTCCAAGACCCACCCCTACCCCTACCCCAAACCCTAACCTTAGCCTCAAAATTAACTCTATCCCTCTTTCTATTTCATAGTACACTTAGTGGGTGGTTGGCGGGTGCTCTGGTGCGGTTTGCTCTTCTTTCCTATCACAAACATCTATCTTCTTTATCTCCCCTCCTTTTTTGTGTTTGTTACTCTCTTGTAACACCTCTAATCTTCAGCACATGATATGACCTTATTGTGTTGCAAATGCCGTGAAACGCTAAACTAAAACCCCCCCTAAAAATATTTCATAGTGGTCGCTTGTCACCGAATTCCTGTTCCTATATTTCAGTCTTGTTGATTTCATTCCCCGGCTGTCTTGACTCCACATGAGTCTTGAAAATTACTCACCCCATCTCTTTAATTGTGTTTTTTAGGCGAACAATTATTAAAGTGTGGTGGTGAGGAAAATAAATCTCAACTTTTAAATGATTTAGGTGTATGTTGTAAATCCCTTATTATTTTTTTGCCCTGCTGTAGACTTGCATCAAAGAAAATGTGCCAGATTCTTTAGTTTGGAGTGACCTTTCATGATTATGAATGAGCTTTTAGATTCTGTTGGTCATTCAACTTTTAGACCTGTATGCAAAGATCTGAAAAAAATTAAACAGAGCGTTTTCATTTTATCCTGTTAAAACCTCAGTCAGACAAAAGTGAGCTAGCAATCGAGTAGGCTATCTATAATTAGTACAAAAAAATTAATGATAGACTGATTGGGAGGGTGTGTGTCCTGTCTCACGAAAAGGAGCATTCTTACGAGGGGCATACCAAAAGTTTTTTACCTGACCATGAAGGAAAAAAAGTAGAAAGCTGAAATGTGGTACTAAGCTTAATCTTTCTTTACTTTATGTGGTCGCCTCCCAGAGTTATGCATGTTTCCCATCTTTGTGTATGACCTTGAAAAGACCTTGAGAATAGAGGACCCTCTCTCTGTCAGAATACCAGCCCTCTACGGAACTTTGACCTCATCATCACTTTTTTTACACCCAAATTTTATCACAGTATAGGATTGGCCATCAGTTCCATATATACGGCAGGCATCTCCGTAAAAATTATATCCTGTATTTGCTTGCCTTGCAAGAACAAATACTTCATTACTGCCCTGTGCTCAATTTTTTCCATTTTTATGTTGAAACTCGTGAATAACATACCCCCATTCAGTTCACTTGCAGTGTGCTGGTGGTAAAACCAGTAATCTGAAATTCCCTAAAATTTAAGCATTCTATGAAGATGATTTTTGGCTTTCACCCCAAATTTCAGCTTTCTACCTTTATTCCTTCATGGTCAGGTAAAAAACTTTTGGTATGCCCCTCGTAAATCTAGTTTTAGTTTTATTGACAGCTTTTACCACTAATGGGTTTAGACTATGGGATATCACCCATTAGTGGGTTAAAAAAAGAAACTCTGTGATACAGGTTGAATGAATTTGAAAGTAATAAAACTAAAACAACCCAATTATGGAAAAAATGAGAAGGCCCAGGCTTACATACTGAAATTATAACAGATTGTGGAGTGGTAGACATCATTTTCATTTTCACATCTTTCCCTTCTTTTGAGTCTGTGGTTCCATTTGTGTATAGGTTATAGGACACACATGATACTTTTCTTTCTTGTTTAAGTGATTTACCATGATTTTGTCTCACTTGGACAGTGCTGCTAAGCAAAAACAAGTTCATGGCATTGAGTGGAAAATATGAAATGCGTAAAAGGCTATTTTTTTGCCTGGTAGTAGAGCCAGTAGTTGGGGTCAACAGTTAACTATCAGTGAGTATGTTCAATTTTAATTGATTTTTGTGCATTGATTGGAGAGAATTTGTCTCCTCACAGTTTGCATGTTGTCTCATTCAGAGACAAGACTATTTATCTTGTTCTAGACCTAAAATTATTCATATGGAGCGTTGGTAGTGTTAAATCTGCCAATAAGTGCACCACTCATTGTATTGGTTCAAATTAAATTTAGTTCTGTTCCAGAGTGACGACCAAACAAATTGTTCTTGTGTAAAGATTTTGATTGTCTACTTTATTTTAGTCTTAGAGATCTAAGGGCAGGATGAATAGAAAGATATAATAGTTCTTTTCGCCAAAATTGAGGCAGGGGGTGGGTGTTAATCCCTTTCCCGAAACAGGTCATTTTTCCCGTTCGATAAGTGAGAGTGTAAAAAATCTGCCAGATTTTCAGTCTGAAATTCATAGGCCTCGGAAATATTGTTATATTATGTATGGGTTTTAGTCGCGTCCTTGTCTCTTGCAATGCTCCTATAGGGTTGAGGATGGGAATTTGAAGTGATGTTAGGCTGCTGATGATGCTTAGTGCTTTTCGTCATGTTGGACTAGAATGATATTTCAAGTAAATTCAGGAGCTCAGTATGCCAATCCTCACAGTGAATGCATGCTGATGTTACTTTTTTCTGTGTTTTGATAATAAAAAAAAAGTAGTTTGATCTCAACCAACCTCTTTCTCCTTGGAGTCTTTGAAGCTTGTATAAATTTGTATTGTGTTCTAAAAAGTAAAATTATTAATTTAATGATGAAAGCAACATATACTGATTTCTGTGTCTCATGCGTAAATGATACAGCTTTTACGTTCTGTTTAAAGACTTTGTTATTTGGGTTATTTTCAGGTGTCGTGGTGGAGTAACAAGCAAAATAAAATACTGATGTTGGCCCAAACTTGTGCTGCAGCAACCTATGGATTTCAACCCGTTGGATATACTAGCTGCCGCAGCTCTTGGAGAGAAAGATGCATCGTCTGATATAAAGTGTACCAGTGGAGGCCAGGAGGGTCCTTCTGGTTCTAACAATACATCTGAGGAATCTGAAGAGAGTAAAGATGCTGAAGACGACACTGAAACTGAAATGGGGAAAACAACAAGCAATGGTTTGAAACCTAGTAAAGGTGTCAAGGAGGCAGAGAAAACTATGGCTCCTCAGAAGTCGCCATGGAGCCCTGATGCTTTCTTGTCACCCAATTTGGGGAGTTCTAATGTCATATCAGATAAATTTTCCATTGGAGACTTGGTGCAAGACCTGAAGAAAAGTCCAGAATGCGAGAAACTCCTCCATACTTCAATCCTTAGTGATCCATTAGGCGGTCCTTTGGAAAATTCTAAAGAGTTTGAAGACAGTCATTACAATGGAATCAACAATAATGTTATTTCTGTAAAGAATGTTACCAACAAATTGGCTTCTGATGTGTTGTCTGGTGCATCAACTCCAAAGTCACCATCACTTGGAAGTCCTCCATCCGTCAAAAGTGTAGATAATGACTGTCCTCTGAGAGAACCTGAAGTTCCTACAGACAATTCGGAGCAGGGGAGTCCTAGTGACACAGACACAGCAGATAGTGATTCCAAATCATTAGAACTGACAGATGTGACTGCATCTGAATCTGTTGGGTTGGACCATCCCTATGCCCTCGTACCTGGTCAGCCTGGACCATCATCCATGATGGATCCCTTCGAGGAAGATTATGATGTGGATGTCTGCTCTCAGAGCAGTCCACTGACTGAAGAAACAGAACAGCGGTCAAGGAATTTATCGCTGGATTGTAACTACCTGAAATCAGGGATTCTTGAAGGTGTCTCAGCAAGCACTCTGGATCTTTATAGAATGTCATCATGTGCATTAGGGAGGTCAAAACTTCCATCTTCATCATCGTCAACATCATCACCCACTCATGATGCATCTTCTAAACCTGCGCTCCTAAATCTGCACAAAGATGATTCTGGTGACACACCCTCAAGAGCTGCTACACCTGTCATTGACAGTGGTGCACCTTCTCCAGACAAACGCTCCCCCAAGTATGGAAAGTTCAGGATTGGCACTTTTGCCAGTTTTAGTTCTAGTAATTTAGAACTGGAAAAATATCTAAGGAACAAAGACCATGTCAATGGTAAGAAGTTGAACATTGGAATTCCTCCTGACACAAGTTTAATCAATTCTTCTTTGAGTTCTCCAACAACCTATCCTTCTTTACATCCACTGTTGCAATCACCAAGTTTAGATTGGGACAGATCAGAAGCTGGCTCTGAAGCCCATGACGACAGTTCAGATGCTCGAACTCCTCATAGACTGTCTCCTGATTTCACCGTTGAGAAAGTCACTGAATGGTCACATCCGATGTATCATGATCATGATTACTGTGCGAAGGATTCAGACTCAAAACCAAGTGTTGATGAGGCTTCTATCTCCAGTTCAGCCAAGCGAAAATATACAAAAAGAAAATCGAAATTGGATTCTGTTGTCAATCATGAAAAAATAATGAAGGCTAAATACCTGAAGAAGGAACTTTTGAAGCAAGATACGTTCAAGAAGACTGCTCCCTCTGAAGTGGAATTTATGCCGGTAGAGGCACAATCAGTCAAGGCAAATCCTGTCGGACGTCCGAAGAAGAGACCTTTTGAAAAGACAATTGAGGAAGAAATTGATCCAGAAACAGGAGCTAAAATGAAGATTACTGGTAAATTTCAGGATCAGTATGTGTATTATTTGTCAAAGTCTTCCAGAACAACCAGCAGAAGACGTCAGGCACCAGCATTACCATTTCCATCGGACAGAATAATTGTTCCTGCTCCGAAGCCTGGAGACATCATCGTTCCTCATCTCACAGATGATGATGTGGAGGCTGTCCGTCTGAGAGGCCGAGATGCACTTAATCCCCCTGAGAGACCCCCTATTAGTAGTTCCAACATTGTTTCTCCAGTTGTGCCGTCCACCACATCAAGTGAATTGATATCCGATGTGGATAGTCACATTGTGAGCACTATTCTCAGCATGGAAAGTGACATAGGCTCCCCTTCCACTTCTCAACCATCAGACATGTCCACCTCTGATTTAAATCCAAATCAGCCTGCCTTGACTGAAAGTCTTAGGCTGATGAGTGGAGACAACAGCATCACTTCTGAACACGTGCTGAACTACCTCTTGAGTGTAGTGAAAGATGAAGTTCCAGAGGATAATCTACTGAGCAGCACAACTGGCTTTGATACAAGCAGTTCTGCACTGTTTTCACCGTTGTCATCAGACTCCATCTACAGCAAAGTGGATCATCTAGAGCCACAGGACGTGCACCGATCAGAAATACCATCAGGCAGCGCTCTTTCAAATGCCTGTGGTGACATGCTCAAAGATGATTGCAGGGCACTACAGACTCCTATTACTTCATCCAGCAGCATTCATTCCTCGCACAGTCAGGAACCTGTTCATTTTGCTCACTCTCTTTCAAAAGACCAAGAGGAGGATAATGTACAACTTCCTGACGATCTTTCATCGTTCATGTCTAATTCTCAGGGAACAGCATCATCAAGCACAACACAAGATGGGGACTCACATGGTTCTCTCAAGAGCATGTTTGGGTCTGATCTCAGTTCACTTGGCACACCTCAGCTTTCTTCATCGGTGCCCAGGCTAACTTCCATTGAAAAGACCTTGGATTTCCTTGGAGTAAAGGATGACGAGATACGGTTGGATAATACCGAAGTGTTCAGTTCAAGTTCAAAGCTTCACTCGGATATCAGTAGCAGTCAGCTTTTGGCTTCTGACGCTAACTGTTCTGGAGATGATACTCCTTGGATAGTGACAGTTACACTTTACTTCAATGATGTTCCCGCCATTATGATCAATAATCAGCCCTTTATTAGACTGGTTGATATTCATAAACAAATCTTACCAGCAAAAGACACGGGTATTTTGAAAAAACGCTGCCAGCTTCTTAAGATTCCAGTTCTAAATTGTAGTGAAATGCAGCGCTATTTTTTAGTCCAATATGGTAGGGCTTATAATTCAAAAAGTACACTGATCATCTCAAAAGACCAAGCGACGGAGCTAGTGACGTACTATGCTACGCCACAACCTCGCGTAGGGAGAGGTGAGGACGCTCATCAAGTTCGCTCTCAGAGTCGGGGCTCTGACTCCGGTGGAACAATGTCACCTGTCACAGTCATTGGATCTGTTACCTGCAAGAAAAAGAGTCACAACAGAGGAGGAAGGAAGTCATCATCTGCAGCTCAAGGGTAAGGCCCGTGTCAAATTATATTTTTATTTTTGAGTTGGCCTTTTTGGTGTGTGTGATTTAGTTTTGATGGGTCATAGTTAGCTATTTTTTCATTTCTTTTAAAATGTCATATTGCCATCTTCAAAAGAGAAAACTTTCAATTTATGAGTAAAAGGGCTCTCTTTACATAAAAGCTCAAATACACCTAGGGATTAAGCTTGGAAATGGCATGTTTGTCCCGTGTACATTTAGCATCAGGTGCAGTTTGGGGAAGGTTTTGTACTTTGTTTCCCCTTACTTACCTCCTCTTTGAGTTGCCGCTTATAATTCTTCTTGTGTGAGAGGCTTCGGTTCTGTGTGATCATGAAGTGTTTGTGTTTGCTATAAAGGGGTATTTTGCCATGTGCGTTGGCAGTTGTATCCAAACATGGTGGAAAGGACATTTTGATTTTTGATCTCAGTGAATAGAGATGACAGTTTTACTGTAACTTCTTCTTTGTTTGTCTTCTGTAATTTTTGTTTTCTTTTCATGTTTGGCTTTTTCTTTTGTCTTCTCGTCATCATTGTTAGTGCCATGTCATTATGATGTTTTTAAAATGTTGTAGAGGGCTGCGTTGATAAAGACCTTTCACCTTTACTTTAACTTAAAATTACTATCCCCCTTCAGTTTCTGTCTGTCTGTCTTGCTTAAAATATTTCCCGCGTAACAAATAAACTTATTGGTAAGTGTAAGTATTGTGCTATGTGCCTTTCTTAGCCCAAACAAAATGTGCAGAATTTAATTAAATGTCTCCTTTTCTTTTGTCTTTTGTTTCTATCTTCATTTTGGCAGGGGGGTGGGTGTGGTGCTTTTTTAATGCATGAAGGATTAGTGGAAGAAAAGAACACCTTGTAAATTTCTCATAAATGCTCTCTCTCTCTCTCTCTCTCTCTCTCTCTCTCTCTCTCTCTCTCTCTCTCTTTCTCTCTCTCTCTCTCTCTCTCTCTCTCTCTCATAATGTGTAATGGCGCCTAGCATTAAAAACATGTTCATTTTAAATGGATATATATTTCTCATTTAATTATTAGTGGATATGGTTGGTGCTCTGATGTGGTTTGCTCCTTTTTTCCTATCAAACATTGTCCTTATCTCTCCTTTTTGTGTTTGTACTCTTTTTTAATACTCCTCTAATCTTTGGTTCTTTTATGATCTAATTTTGTTGCAAGTGCCGTGAAATGCTTACTAAAGAAAAACCCAACTCTTAATAAAACTTTTTTTAAAGTGACAGGAACTGGAGCACATATAACGATTGCTGTAATGTTGGCAAGTAGCCCAAGTTGATTTTTGTGAAAGTGAAAAATTAAAGCATTTTGTCATGCAAAGACAGTGTTTTTGCTGTTCTTACCGACTTCGGGCTGTTAATGTTGATGGCATGGGCGTGGTTTATTGCTGCCCAATTACTTCAGTCAGCGGTCTAGTTTCATGCACCTCAACTACACTGTTTTGGGTTCCTCTCACGCTAGCTGTCATAGTTTTTTGCATTGTAGTATATGTTGATAACTAAACTAAGATAGGATGTTGGTGAAAAAATAATTGGAATAAAAACAGCAGGGTCCTGACCCCTATGATAGCTATGAGCGCCAACATCCTCGAAATGCTGCGGTTTTCTTTTCTTTGGCCATGGTGTCTGCAATAGTGGGGTATCTGATCTTAGTCTATGAGAGTAGGCTCAAATGTTGTTTTGCCCTAACTGATTTTCTCATTTTTAGTCCAGCAAGTTATGTAGTTTTGAATAGAAAGAATAGACAGACGTATAAAAGAAAATAAAACCCGAAAATGTGTTCGCTATGTTTGTGCTAGATTGTCCATTCCTCTGTAGATTTCTATTTTCCTGTGTTGTTTTCAACACTGTGCAGCTGTAATATATCATGTTTACCATTATATTGGAGGAGTGTTGTTGAATTTTGAGTTGAGATCTAATAGTCGTAGTGGTGTGTGAGTGGTAGATATCTCTAGGTCCTACTTCTTTTCTTTCCCTCTGCGGGTTTGTTTTTTTTGTCTGTCTTGCTTCTTCCCTACACTATGACTTTGACTTTCTGGTTGATGGCTTGCTTCTCTTTACTCAACTTCTTCAAAAAGTCTTACCTCCTTCAAACTGAATGTCCAGTGTGGCAAAGCAGACCATCCCTCCCGCCCATGGTAAGACAGCTTCAATAAAATACTCTGTCTCGTATTTTCTGAACCAAAAAGATTTCATCAAAATTTTCAAAGTGATTGTGAATCGGTAATATTGCTTTGGAATTAATGTATATGAACTAAGAATGCTGGCACCACATTTATCTCCATGGCAACAGATTCCACTAGGCCTGTGAAGAAGAAATTGTGGATCTCTCATGTCCGCCATTTGACCTTGTGATCTATTGGATTGAAATAGGAGGAACAAATATATAATTGATTGATTACATCAGTATTAGGAGTAATGAGCCTTGGTTGTGTATTGACGTCTGTGGTATAGCTGTTTGACGCTTTTCCGTAGCATCTGAGTTCAATCCCCAAATGAAGAGAATCCCTCTCTGCTCCTGTTGGCCCTGACAAGCAGGATCTGAAGCCCTCCTCTTAAATTATCTAAATTGTGTTGATTGGAGTGTAAAAATCTATACATTTTAAAAAGTTGTCTTTTTAAGATTGTGACGTCAAATGCCATGCTAGACTGGAGGGGAGGCAAATTGGTGCTAGTTTAGTTGCTGGTCTACCACTGGATGGGTCTGACAACGGGTTTAGTTGCCGGTATGCTGCCATCTTTTTTGTCCCATTTGTTTATACAGGCTTAGGATTGGCCACATGAAAATTGTGTTGGTGGCTGCAGTTTATTGGGGGGGAAGGTCCCTTTTTTCTTGGAAATAATCATGTCAGGTCACTTGCTGCTCGACTTGTATCTATTTGCCTGTGTTGTGGGCATTTGTCAGACCATGTTCGAAATGATTTTCATATGTATGGAACTGCCCTGTTTGTTTTTGTTGTTAGTTTTTTTAAATTTGGGGGTGTATGGGGGCGGGGTTGAATTGCAGCTGCCATCCGCAAGGTTGCTAAAAAAAACAACAGAAGTGTTGTTTAAGAATAAGATTTTTGAATCTGTTACGGGTAGAATGGTTGGTTGGTCAGCAGGTGCTCTGGTGTGGTTTGCTCCTTATCAAACATCTATCGTTCATATCTCTCCACCCTTTTTATATTTTTTTTATATTTTTGTTACTCCCTTTTCTCACCTCTAATCTTCAGCACATGTATGGCCTAATTGTATTGCCAGTGCCATAAAACGCTTACTAATACCAAAAAGAAAGGGTAGTATTAGAATGCTAGTTTCTTTTCAAAATATGAATGCTGGCATGATACATGCATAACTATCTTCATGCACACATGTGTACTGCGTGCTGCTTGGGAAAAATCAATAATGTGTATGGTCGGTTTGAGGCACATACAGTCATACAGTTTCCGTTTCTCCTTGACAACAGTTTGTAAGTAGTGGGATAACGGTGTGCTAGACGCGCTGATCGAGAACAAAATTAAGAAAATCTAAAAATCTGTGGAACATACTTGTTCGCTATGGACTCCAGGAATTTTTCTTGTCTTCTCCTTTTCGAGTGCAATTTCTCTTTCTTCTTGGCTTTGCTAAGAGCGTTGGCAGTTAGCACACTTTTGCACGGTTTTACCCCCTCCTCCCAAGGCAAAGCTGTAGCAGCGGGAGACCGCGAGGCCTTTGGACGCAAGCCAAGCACAGGGCTTCTTCCCCTGTCAGTGACAACCTTCCTCCCCCCCGCCTCGCCGCGTGTATAAACAGCAGCATGCCAAAGGCTCACCGTCCCGCCCTCCCGCTCTTTCTGTCTTCACTCTTCCCCTCTCTCTCACCCTCCTCCCCTCCCAATTCAACGACCAGCCGCGCGACTGAACCGAGTCTACGGGCCTGGAGGCGAGGGCCTGTTGTAGGGCTCTCTCTCTCTCTCTCTACCCCCCCCCCTCTCTCTCTCTCTCTCTCTCTCTCTCTGTCCCTCTCTCGCTCTCTCTCTCTCTCTGTCCCTCTCTCGCTCTCTCTCTCTCTCTCTCTCTCTCTCTCTCTCTCGCTCTCTGAATACGAAAATCTCCCAGTAAAAAAAACAAGCCGAATGGGCAAAAAAGAGGGGGGGGGGGGGGGGGGTTCTATTATTACACGCACGAGCTGAAGTCTGCCGAACAACGTTCGATTAGCTTGATGGAAGTAGAGAGAGCGTACTAACTTCCATGAAGTTTTTGCTGCGTCCAGCAAGTTGGCTATTTTTTTTTAGCCCACCCCCCCCCCCTGCTTTTTTTTTGTTGGTTTCGCTAGTAGTTGCACCGTAATTTGTCAGATGAGCCCACTGTTCAGGATAGCAATGATGATAATAAGTGCTGGTATAATAAATATGATCTGACAACTTAACTGTCACGGTCTGTGGGACTGGCCTCTGTGGTGTCACTGTCTGGTGCTACGCCATAGCCCTCAGAAGACATGAGTTCTATTCCATGTCGGTTTTGTTGTAAAATTATCCCCAGCAAAAACATCTGTTAGTTGTGCTGACTGACTGCTAGTTACACTCAACATTCCAAGTGGGTGATTGGTGGGTGTTCTGCTGTGGTTTGCTCTTTCTTTCCTCTCAACCAAACCTTTATTGTCCTTTCTCCTCCTTTTTGTGTTTGTTACTTTCTTGTAATACCTCTAATCGTCGGCACTTGCATGACCTTAATGTGCTGCAGGTGCCATAAATCTCTTATTACTGAAATGAATATCAAGGAGACTTACAGATACCTTTTTCCCCCATTCCAGTGTTCTGGTCTCCGATGCGACTGATGTCCCGACCGTGGATGTGGCAGGCAAGCATGGCCCTGCTGAACCTGCCACTGGCAATGGACTTCATAGCAAGCGCACCAGACACAAGAAGATCAACTACTTAGAGATGCTACGTGGGGAAGAAAAAGAGAAGACATCAGAGGATGCCATAATGGAGACCATTGAATCTGTAGTGAAGTCTTCTCCTGGGTACTATGATCTGCAGAAAAGCAAGAAAAAGTGTATTTCTTCTACTTCTAGTGGTAATGTTCCAACAAAGAAAAAGCTGAAGTCTAGTGCACACTGTGATAAAAAGGTAAAAAAGACGAAGCCAGGGAAAGTTTCCAAGTTTTGTCTGAAGAAAATCGGACAGGGCCCTAAAGTAAGCAAAGAAAAACTTGAGCATACTATAGAAAAGGTTAAAAGCAGCAAAATAAAAATGTCCAAAAATGACAGACCAACAGATAAAAGCTGTGATACTACAACAACACCACCAACAGACTTGGACTCGGATGACAACGATTCAGCCCAGGCCAAGTCAAAATTTCGGCCTCTCAAATTGAAAGTAAACAGCTTACTAAACTTTGCTGGAAACAAGAAAAGCCCATCTCCCACTAAAAAAGGACTATTTTCTCGCAGCAACTCATCGTCATCCTCAACATCGGACAGGCCTCTGAGGGTCCTGGCAGTGGCTCACCAGCCTGCTCTTCTGAACGAGAAGGAAGAATCACACTTGCCTTCTCAGCCTGCAGACATCCACCTCGATCTTTTCACTCGATCTAGCTCGCCGTGTGTTCGTTGTCAAACGTGCAGTCAGTTCCTGTCAGTTCCTGACTTCATGCGACACCACCATGTGGCCATGGACAACGAATGGCTTGCTACTGAAGCAGCCCACCGGATCCTTGTGCCTAGAAACAAGGAGAATATTTCTGAACAGGAGAAAAAGCTCTGGGAGGAGTTCCACAGGCTCCAGGAAGCTATCGGTGGCTTTGGAGGTGATGACGAGAGTGACAGTGATGAGAACGATGACTACGGAGACGAAGACCAGTGCTCCCTCAACGTGTCTGGGACGTCGTCCTCCCTACTGGGCATTGACGGGTCACCACCAACTTCTCCTGGGCCGGCGGACAGACCTCAGATCTTACAGCACATGGAGGACGTGTTGTCTTCAGATGGGGAAGAGGAGGATGAGGTGGACGCCTCGTCACATCCTATTTCTTCCTTAACTCTGCCTTCTTTTGATCAACGTGCACAGAAATTGAAACTTGAAATGGCTTCAAAAATTGGTTTAGTGAAGCGGGATCAGAGTAAAGATAATGGATCTTCAAATGTATCTTCTCTAATTGGGATTAAAAATGGTACTGCTCTTTCAAGTTTGAGAACCAGTTCACGGAAAAGAAAATCGAAGCAGTTGTTTTCCATTGAAAACTACTACATGCCCAGAAAGATTGCAAATGGGGATGAACTACAAAGTGGAAATTCTTTGCAGAATGGTTCAATTGATGGGGGAGGTTCCTTTGAAACTCAGTTCACGGGTTGAATCTGTGAAGTTGTTGTTTTTTTAAAAATGTAAACAGTTTTCATTTCAAAAAGAGGGAAAATTTATGGTGTTGTACCTTATTTGTGGAGGATTGTGAAGAGGATTTGTATTGTGGAGGATTATTTATTTTGCATGCTGGAAATCTCTTCATTTCAGTTGTAGGGTAAGACTTTAAAAAGTCTATGACTCTGTGTGGCTTTCGTATTCAATGAGGCATAAATTACAACTTTGTTATTTGAATTGTGACATTCACATTAGTCTCCAGTTCTCAGTTTCCATGTTTATGAAAATAAATGTCTATGGGAAAATGGTATGTGTCTTATTTTTAAAAAAGAGCTCGAGGGTGGTTTTGATGAATTGTAAATTCTTCACTCTATCTTCCAGATGAAAAAGAATTTTTAAAATTGAATTCAAAGGCAACACTGTAGAAGTAGATGAAAGAATTAATCATTGAAAACATGTTATTCAAAGGAAAGAAATGTTGCTATCAATCTGTGATATTACCTGTTTATAATCTTGTATAGTAGTGTGACATGTTTATTACTCTCTTTAGCTGCTAATTTGTATCATGTGTTGATGGGCTTTGTCATACATGTAATATTTCCTTTTTAACTCATGCTTTTCAGAACAGATGCCTAGCCTGTTGTTGGGGTTGTGGAATTAAAGTGTTTTTGTAATACATGTGTATGTGAAATTGTATCAGTTGAAAGTGTGGTGCACTGGTTCATTTTATGCAAAGTTTGGCTTGCTGGTAAATGTTTTTCGATCATTTCATCTCTGAATGAGGTTTTTGTTGTATGAATCAAATCTTTTCTTTTTTCTCTTTCTTGTCCCAGTCATTTTACTTCCATGGTACAGTACATCTTTTATGTTGAGCTCATTCTCGTTTCCTCATTGAGTTACCTTTTTTGTCTTGTTTTTCTTACATACAAATATGCTCTCACACTTTCTCAAAACATGCATAAAAAGCCTGATTATAATGCAATAATTCCCTTTGGACAGTTTTAAAGTACATTCAGTCTTGTCTAACTATAGGTAGTTGTTCTTCTGTTTCCAAAGTACTTGGTTTTGCCTCACTAAACATTTATTTTTGCAGTTACAGACATTGAAGTCCTAATGTGAGACGAGTATGTGTCAACAGTTCCATGAAAAAAAATTGGCAGGATATAAAAATTATGTATGGTAAATATTTCAGTAAAGATTCCAAGGTCTTTAAGTAAGAAGATAACAAACAATGAAAAAGGAAAAAAAAAAAAAAGAATCGGATTCAGAAGGAAGAGGGGAGGATTTTTTTTCTGATGTGCCCCTCCTACATTCTTTTTTGTTTGTTGAAGTAATTAGCTACTCTGTGTAAGGGTTGTACACTTTTTTTATTCGTTTGTTTCTTTGTTTGTTTGGGGTTTTTTTGTAAAAGGAAAGTGAATGACAGTCAAATTTTGAACTGCAGGGCCGAGATATTAATCAAGCTGTATTTCAAGGCAGAAAATACAGACTGAAAATAGTCGGCAAAAAAATAAAAATAAAAAACATGTCAAATTTGAGAATCTTCAACATAGTAAAACATAAATTATGAAGGAACGTTCAATATGTATGATTTATTCAATCTCCATTTCAATTCTGAATGTGCTAGTCACGTTTTATTATGATGAAAAGAAACCATTATTGGCCAAGTTATAGCCAATTTTGTGTAATCAACTGAACTTTGAAATCACTAATACAACAGCTACAAAATGATATGCACAATTGAAAACACCTCTCTTCTCGTGCAAACATACAAACCAGTTAGAAACCCGCTCCTTGGAGGAAATCGAACTTCTGTCTACGTATAGAATACTAGTCATATTTTACCAAGTCAAATTCTTTGTCAATATAGAAGTAAAGAAAGGCAAGCTCATTTGCTCTGACACCAGCAAAATAGGCCCAGCTCATTGGCAATTGCCAGCAGCCATACAGTCAAATGGCTAAGAGCACCTTTACGTAGAGAACAAGCTTTTTTCTGTTCAGTGATGATATTCTTCACATTGCATACGCAGGAATTGGTAAAGAGGAGAAACAAAAATTTTGCTAATACTAATTGACACAGTTTTTTTACTTATTTAATCAGAGATTATTTTAATGAAAGTTTGAACAAAAGATATACTGACATGGTAGTTAAATTTTTACAGGGTGGGATATTAATTGTAGTTTGTACCAGAGTATTGAATTATAATAATTATAATAGGTCATATTGTTTTCTTGGGTATGCTGTCTGGCTCAGCACATTACAGATCATCCTAAGTTATGATCAGTTGACTTGAGATGCATTGATTTAATTTAATACTGTCGATGAAAGATTACATCGTGATGTTCATTTTAAAAAAGGAATGATTATTATTGTCTTTCTTCAGCTGTTCTACCTGTTTGATTCCACTGGATGGGGAATTAAAGTCATTCGTTAGTGCTCTTGTTATTATGCAATTCTCATGAAGACTATTGGTTTGGAAGAATCTGTAACAATGTTCCAGAAAAGAAAGTTGAAGAAAAAAGGGTGGGGGGGGGGGGGGGCTGCTGGAATGGGGTTTAAAAAGAAAAGAAAAAAGAAACCGTGCACCCTTATGTCCAAAGCCGGATGTGTTGAATTTCAGTTGTTGTTCAGTGATTTTGTGATGCCTTTTTTTAATACTTTGTTATGATCCCTGTCATGTAATTGGAAGTTAAAACTGTAAATTTGTGTCTTTTGTTGTGCCAATGAACGACTAGCTTGATGTTTATGGACTCTAGTTTGTGCATGATTCTTGTATTTTTGTGCAGCAACGCAACATCAGGTCGACTTTGTTATCAACAAGAACAAAGTGATGAGACTTACAGAGTTGTGTTTCGTTTGTTTCTTGTATCAATTGCTATTTGAATCATTTTTTGGGTTTGATCAAATGGTTAGTCATGCAATTCCCTTTCTTAACTCAAGCCCTATATTATCATCTTTTCTGTTCTAGAAGGGCTTCCTTGTAGTTACATAAATAGATGTAGATGTGTTCATTAGTCACTGGCCCTCCATGGTGACTACAGTGACTAAAGTAGTATGTACTTCAATTTTTAACAAAGTCTGACAAGAGGATGTATCCCTGAACAAGCAGAAATATTTGTTTGAAATCTGCTTGTGATACGAGACAATATTGACAAGGGACTATTCCGCTTTAAGAAGTTATCAACTATGGTCTGTTTGTTGGTTATTGTTGTTTTTCTTTCTTCATGTCTTTATAAGTGTCGGTACGAGTACCTTCTTGTGTGTTTGTAGACAAGTCATTCTTAGAACATATTTAGGGTGCAAATTACTTTTCTCTCCTATTGAATTACTTATTTTGTATTTGTCCATCGTTTTATCCAGCATTTGTTGTGCACTTTTGTATTTATACAAATTTCTGAGATTCCTGTAGGAAGCGTTTGGAAATTACACTGGTTATTTAAAAAATACTAAAATAAAAATTAGTGAACCTACCAGGCTGCATTGTATTTTGTCAGGTGTATGAAAATGGTGAATAGTGCATTGAAGTATGTGATTGCTTGCAGTAATTGAGTAATTTTCATGTTGGCTGCAACCTTGCTTCTCTGTGCTCAACACAGAAAAGTGTCTTTGTAAAGAATGCACACATTTGCCTCTTTTGACATGCTGATGTCTAATTGTTGAGGTACTCCATAATCATGCACTACCTGCTGGGTCATCATTTATCATAAATTTATGTTAGAATAGTAAAACAGCACTAGGCAAGTTGTTTGTAGTGCTGGTAAATTTCATATTGTTATGTATGTGCGTATCATGTTCTATACTACATGACATGGTGACTTGGCAGGTCTTGCTTTGCATCAGGCATGGTGTAGTGTAGTGACTCTGCTCTTGACGTACTTTGTCACGTTCATGGTTCACGTTGGGAGCAATGTGTGCACACAATATGATGTTAGTTGCATTCTGGTTTTTCTGTAAACAGTGGGGTAGCACTTTCAATTTTTTTTCCTGTTTTGTTTATGGTTTATCATTGCGTGTGTATGGATGTTTTGAGTTTAATGCATCAAATACATTTTTTACTCCAAATTTCTACTGAAACAATTTGAATTACTGTGGTAAAGTTAATCACACTTCATGATGAGGGACAGATTGGTAGTTTGGGATACCCTGTGTTGAGAGGTATTTCACAACGGGTACAATTTAATTTTCCTCCTATCTTAATGTTAATACTTTAGTTTTGAATGTATAATGAATAATGAACGCTTTTTACGTTTAGATTCATAGTTACATACATGATGATTATTTTGGGCAATGTAGCATCTTTTAAGATAGTGACGGTGCAGTGTCTTATTATTGCACCTTATTTCGCTTATATCACACATAGAGGGCAGCCAATACTTGCATCCATATTTCATGTTCATGAAGCTTATATTTTTCTCATGGTATCGATAGTTTGATGCTTGTGAAGTCCTTCACTTTTCTCTTTCTGTCTGCTTCTCTATTCCCGGTCCTCCTCTCTCTCCCTTTCTCTCTCTCGCTCTCTCTTTCTCTCTCTTTTGCTCTCGCTCTCTCTCTCTATTGTATCACTACCGATTCATCTTTTCTGTGAGTGCTCGCGTATGTGTCTGTATGCTTGTCAGTGCATCAATTCTGTCTTTATCTTCCTCCTCATTTGATGGAGTCCTTGTGAATGTCTTGAATTGAGTCTCTCTTGTAGTATTCATGTACTGTCACTTTTTCATGTTATGTAGTGTTGAGGTCTGTTGTTTCTGTGCTGTTATGATGTACCCCATGTATCCCAACGCTGTTGTTTGGTTAAATTGGTTATTGTTACAAGTTAGCGGATTATATTGACAAATGACCTTTTTTCCTTCCCATTCTGCTGTTCTCATATTGTGAAGAATCAATATTACAGGACCATTGCATTCATTGATTGATCTTTCCCTCGCCCCATCCCACCCCTTCCCTCTCGTCAAGTGAGTTACAATGTTGTCTTGGTCTAGAAATAAACCAATACTCCTGCACTCAGTGACTTCATACTTCTTTGTATATGTTTGTATGAGAGAGGGAGCAAGCTACATACTTATTTCTCTGTGTGTATGTTGAACAGGTAGTCGTGCAGGGTATTTGTATGGGTAGTAGGCTCTGACGTCTTGTTCCTCTGCTGCTATTGGTCAAAGTATGGTTGCCAAGATGGCAAGTTGTTTTATTAATGTCTTGGGTTCATGACTTAAATTGATGTCAATTCTAATTCTATGGATACGTGTTGCTAGACGACCAGTCATTGAGGATTATATGCCACAGGTTACCCAATTTTTAAAAAAATTTTTTTGGGGGGAAGGCTTCAAATACATTTACAGGGATATGCTCTCTCTCTCTCTCTCTCTCTCTCTCTCTCTCTCTCTCTCTCTCTCTCTCTTATATGTTATCATTTGTATCAGATGGTACGAACCGACAGAGGAGACAGCTGATGGATACTTACTTATTAAGCATAAAAACCCACTGTAAATGGGAGAGGCATGGATGACTCATCCTCAGCCAACCAAAACGTTCACGAAGTGGCAACTGGAAACTCGATATCCTGTTCATTTCAGATCCCTGTGGTTTTTCACTCTTTACACATCCTGTTACAGTTAAGAGCTAGGGTTGGCGAAATTCTGCACACGGAGATAACGTACATGGTGACATGCACACTTGCCTGGTAAACAACGGATCTGGTGAGATCTATGAGCGGGTGGTTGGAGGGCGCCACTGGCAGATCCTACTTCTTTTTTTTTCCCCTGTTATTTCTGTCAATGTCTTGTTTCTTCCTTGTTTTTTTTTATGGCCGTTATTGTGCCAACACGTTTCTCTACTCAAACGAAAACTGAGACCTATGATAAACTGGTTTTAGATCAACTGAAAGCTGATGTGTATCGTGGTGCCCAGTTGTTAGACTGACCAGTCCAAAGTTGTCAGAGTCACGAGGTTTTGCGTTTCTTACAGGTCGTACTATAGGCGAACACTATCGCTGTGGGTGGTTAGCGGGTGCCCTGGTGTGGTTTGCTAATTATTTCCTATCAAACGTTTATCGTTCTCATCCCTCCTCATGTTGTGTGATTGTGTTGCTAGCGCCGTAAAACACTTACTAAAATTGAAACTAAACCTCTCTTTCTCTCGTTACATTTGTCCTAATCTGATCCATGACTGTCACTGTGCTGACTAGCCGGCCGCAAGTCCCAGCTTGAAAACAACGTGCCCCTGACTGAAATGTCTTTAGGCCATTCACAAAGGGGGGACATTTCTCGTTCATGCACAGTAGAATTGTAAATGGGCTGATTCATCAATGCCACGCTTTTAACTGCCTGATCTACAACAGGGAACTGCTGCTCTTTCTTTCCTAATCCTTACTAATGTCATTTTTCCTGTACTTCTTTTGTATGTTTGTCACTCTCTTGTGACCCACTATTTCCGGGGTGCATTGATAGTCGAAGCACTTTGTGCTGTTGAAGCTAGAGAGGTGAGCAGAGTAAGTCTGATTTCGTGTAAGGACTTCTCTGTTGACATCCACTCCTATTATGCAGTTGCGAGCGTCGTAAAACATCTATTAAAACTAAAAACTAAAACACTAGGTGAAATGTGTACTGGGCAGTTGATTGGACGGTGCCGCTGGTAGTTCTTTCCCTCTGTTTCTGTCTCTCTGTCTTGTATCCCTGAACTAACTGACCGTTATCGAGTCGACTTCACTCAAAATCAACTGTGTAATGTCTATGTGTAGCCCAGATGCAATTTAAAGTACGCCCTGAGTAAA